CGCATGGGTCAGAGCTGGCGTGAGGCACCGCATATTTTCACGTCAAGTTTGGATTTTATAAATCACAACCTTGGCGTAAAAAGTGGCGTACGCAAGTTTCTGGGCTCAAATTGTGCGTACGCCAGTTTTATAAATCCGACCCCAGGTCTTTGTTTATTGAAAAAATATCATTTATACTTAATCTGCCAGTATAATCTGCCAGTTTTGGGACAAAATGGTTTAAATAGTGTATATTATTCCAGCTTTCTTAAATATAAGGATGCTTTCTTTGACTTTTTGTATTTGAGGAATATGCATGTCACAGGCACTTGAAGCTTATTGCTTAATAGAAACAGTGGCAGTAGATACATCAATTTACACAACAGTTTATTGCTGAACATCGGACCGGAATGGTGTCTCATGCGGATCTGTACATAATGCCAAAACAAAGATCACCACTTAAAACTTTAATGAGCACATGTAATGCTGCGTTAAGACCTAACAAGATTTGAGTGTCAGGGGCATTGAGTTTACATGCAAAGTCTCAGACTCATTGTATGATGACTCAATGTGTGATTTCTCAGTCTCATGCAGTTTTATTAGATTTGTCACTAATGTTGATATGCTGTGGTGTGAACTGCACAGATCAGGACACTTTAAGAGTTAATCACAATACTTAGAATAAGCTCATAAGTGGGTTAAAATTTGATCTTATAATAGATATATTAAAAAAGGCAAATTAAGGGACGCTGCATTTTGCTTCAACCACTCGCTTTAAATAAATAAATAAATAAATAAATAAATAAATAAATAAATAAATAAATAAATAAATAAATAAATAGCACTAATCTGCCTTGGATCTCACATATTACTCACAAGTACAGGTTTGCACTTCTCAGTGGTGTCACTAGGGATGCTGATTTTTATTTTTATTCAAAATGTTAATATAATGTGGCCAGAATATTAGTTTAAATAAATAATCATGTATTATGTTGTTATTATTAACAGATCATAAATCTGTCAGTTTCCTTTTACTTTATAATGCAAGGTAGAGATCCTCTTCAGTGCATTGTTATTCAATCCATTCCACCTGTTCACACAGAGTACTACATCACTTGAAATCCAATCCATGTTTGTACTGCAACCTTGAGTGCAGGATAAAGCCAACTATAGCAGCATAAACATTCAGTGAGAGAATGCTAAGGCAAGGATAATTTTCAGTAAAAAATGGACATTCGAAAGCTTTTCAATAAAGTAAGTATTAGCCATCACTGCTTGCTGTAACCATACACATATATAAAGAGTAGGCACATCATGGACCGCTATTGCCACTGTCGAGCCGCGTGGCTGCCATTTTGGAAAAGTTGCTGGCTGCACTCAGTGTAATCTGTTTGGCAGGTACAATGATGTATCAGCATGTTTGATCAATTATAACTCGCTGAATACGGAACTGTTTTTCACACTTTTTGTGTCAGAGGTCTTGATGAATGCGTGATTGAAAGAGGATCTGGCCCGTCTCTCTTTCCTGTGTAAAGAATCCTGAGAAAACAGGACAGATCTTCACTAACAGATTTACACTGACAGACCATGATTGGGTGTGAAGGTCTAACAAGAGTAACACTCAGGACACTCTCAGCTCGTGAATATGTGAGACAGATACAAGAATACCATAAGGCCAGATTGATTTGATTTGATTTATTGATTTAACAGGAAAAGATTACTAAAAATCAAGCCTGACTCAGCATAATTGC